AGATCTTTGAGACTGCTAGGTGCCCTTTGAGGAAAGGCACAGAAGACAAGGGAACAAGAAATTCATGAATTTCTGGAAAAATATTCAAATCGACTCAAATTATATATAAAGCCCTTAGAACACAAATGCCCAAATCTAATTTTGAAATGTCCCAACCATGTGCATTGTTGGGGTTAGCCAAAACAAAGGGGCTGGGTTTTTTTTGTTTGTTTTTTGTTTTTGAGACAGGGTCTTTCTCTGCCACCCAGGTTCCCAGGCTGGAGTGCAGTGGCACAATCACAGCTCACTGCAGCCTTGACCTTTAGGGCTCAAGTGATCTTCCCACCTCAGCCTCCCAAGTATTCTCACTCTGTTGCCCAGGCTGGAGTGCAATGGCGTGATCTTGGCTCATTGCAACCTCCGCCTCTTGGGTGCAAGTGATTCTCCTGCCTCAGCCTCCCGAGTAGCTGGGATTACAGGTGTGTGCCACCATGCCCAGCTAATTTTTGTATGCTTAGTAGAGTTGAGGTTTCCTCATTTTGGCCAGGCTGATCTCAAACTCCTGACCTCAAGTGATCCACCTGCCTTGGCCTCCCAAAGTGCTGGGATTACACGTGTGAGCCAATGCACCCAGCCCTGATTGTTTTTATTTTTTTTGTAGAGGTGGGGTCTCGCTTTGTTGCCCAAGCTGGTCATGAACTCCTGGGCTCAATGGATTCTCCTGCCTCAACCTCTCAAAGTGCTGGGATTACAGGTGTGAGCCACCACACTCAGCCAGTCATGCTTTATAGATTCACCCATTTGCGTCACTCTTGACACCAGAATGCCTGTATCTGACTGAGGGGCAAGGGCACATCTTTGGTCAAGAAGGTTGGAGAACAGGCTGAGCAGTTTGTCTTTCCTTATTTTTCCCCACCACTGGTATCCTGTCCAAACCTTTCAGGTGGATGCTTTGAAAATTGGCCTGTAACCAATGCAAAGCAAAAAAAAAAAAAAAAAAGATTGAAATCAGAACATGCTGCACTGTGGTGAATCCACCTTGCAGGACAGGGCAAGTAGTTGTGATGTTAAAAATTAACCTGTGCTGGTTGTGGCAGCTCACGCCTGCAATCTCAGCGCTTTGTAGCTGGAGGCAGGTGTATTCCTTGAGGCCAGGAGTTCAAACTATCCTGGGCAATTTAGTGAGACCCCACTTAACAACACCAACAGAAATTAGCCAGGTACGGTGGCACATGCCTGCAGTCCCAGCTACTCAGGAGGCTGAGGCAGGAGGATCACTCGAGCCTAGGAGTTCAAGGCTACAGTGAGCTATGATCATGCCGCTGCTCTCCAGTCTGTGTGACAGAGCAAAACCTTGAGTCTAAAAAATAATAGTAATCATAAATCACCCGATATGAGCTTTGTTAGGACACCTTTTTTGGAGATATATAAATCATCTCCTACTAAAAATACACTCAGCTCAACATTTCATATTTCACTGAGCCACCTAAAGTAACATTGAAAAATTCTAACATAAAATGTCAAGAAAAAATTGGTTTGATCTCCACCAAAACTGTAAGTTGTTCTTCAAACAAAGAATGAATTCTGGGTTATTTGATGCAGTGCTAGAATCTTACACCCAGATGTGGCATTGAGTGTTGCTCCTGGAAGGATTTGCTGATCTGCGCTTTAGACTGAGAAAACAAATTCTATTTTTTAAATTAAATTCTTAGTGTGCTGGTTCCTCTTAGTTTCATTTCTTTTCTTTTCTTTTTTCTTCTTTTTGAGACAGGGTCTCACTTTGTCCTTCAGGCTGGAGTGCAGTGGTACATTAATAGCTCACTGCAGCCTCAATCTCCTGGGCTCAAGCGATCCTCCCACCCCAGCCTCCCAAGTAGCTGGGACTACAGGTGCACACCACCACACCTGGTTACATTTTTTTATTTTTAGTAGAGACGAGTTTCACTATGTTGCCCAGGCTGGTCTCAAACTCTTGGGCTCAAGCAATCCTCCTGCCTCAGTCTCCCGAAGTGCTGGGATTACAGGCAAGAGCCACCACACCCCGCCCTCCTAGTTTCTTACTGCAGAAATGGTCATGTCTGTACTAAGAGCTAGTATTTTTAGGTCTTGGTAGAAATTCTTCTTTGACCCACCCCAGCATTTAAAAATGAGTTTCATTGCATCTTCTGTTTACCTGCTGCCATTTTCTTTCCAACAGTTGGTTGTCGAATATCATCAATGAAAGCCTTTTATTCTATCTTGAGATGCAAACAGATATCAATGGAGGTTCTTTGAAACCTGTCAGAACTGCAGCCAAGACCACATGGTTTATTATGGTAGGTCAATCTTTATTTTATTGTAATTAGTTAATTAGTTAATTAATTTATTTGTTTTAGAGACGAGGTCTCACTCTGTCACCCAGGCTGGAAAGCAGTGGCACAATCATAGTTCACTGCAGCCTCAAACTCCCGGGCTAAAGCAATTCTCTGTCTCAGCCTCCTGAGTAACTGGGACTACAGGTGTATGCCACCACCCTGGGCAATGTTGGGAAACCCCATCTCTCTTCTTTTAATTATCTAGATTTAACATTTTCTGTTTGAAAAAAATCAGAAGAAAAAGAAGCAGTCAGAAGTACAATATATTGTATTTAAATACAGGAGGAGTTAAATAGGCTCCTGGCCTTAGTGTGCTGGCTGGCTGTTTTGTTTGTTGTTGGGATCCTTATTAAATGCTTCACCTCTGGTCAATCAGTTTGGCACAGTGTATCAAAGCTCCTGGCAGTCTCACAATATCAGAGCATGGATCTTGAAGGACCGTTTCAGACTCTTGGGCTGAAATTCCTGGATATTCCTGGTAGCATTATCCTTCATAATTGTAAAGCATTATGGGTAACCCAAATTTCAAAAAAAAAAAAAAAAAGAAAAAAAGAAAGAGATGGTTAAGTAAATCATGGTCTTGCATCTTGATGGAATATTACTCAGATGTTAAAAATGATGATTATGAAATCTCTGGTATTAACTGGAAAATGTAATATATACAGTTATACCAATTACAACTACAGAAAAACATGATTATCTTTTTTTTTTCAAGGGGGAAACAATGAAAAAAAGAAATAAAACAGAAAAACATACGTGTATGGAAAGGTATTGGTGGACATACAGGAAGTGGTGGTGGGGTAGAGGCACCAATGACAGACTGCGCCAGCACTCTCTTCTCTCACCTTTATAAGAAAAAATGCACGCGTGTTGTTGGCAGGGAGTTGCATACTCACTGTTCTACACAGAAGCCATATTTATATCGCTTTTGAAATGGGGAAAGTCTCATTTACAAAGACTTTCAAACGGAACCAACACTGGCCCATCCGTCCCTGCATGTGGTTTGGAGCTTGGCTGGGTTCCTCTGGTGAACTTTATATGTCCTCAGCACACATGAGTGGAGGGATGTTTCCCAGACTCTGCCTGAGCCTCGGGAACCTTTATTATATCAAGTGCTCCCTTGGCAGCACAGGGTGGCAAACTGTGGAGAACAGGAGCCCCCAGGCTTCGGGAGGAGCTGGCTGTTCAGTCCTTGTACCACGGTGCTCCCTCTCCTCCTCTCCCACTCCTGGCCTCTTCTCCTCCCCCACCCTCCCCTCTCTTTTTCTCCTTCTCCTGCCCTCCCTCCTCTCTCATCCTCTGTCCCCTCTCTTCCCTTCTCTACTCAAGCTCCTCCTGCCTCTCCTCTCCCCGCCCCCACTGTTTTCAGGCACTCTTGAGTGTACAGCACCTACTGTGTCCAATCTTCGTCTTGCCCCAAATCAACCCACCAACCAGCCACCCGCCAACCCATGGTCACTTCCAAGCCAGGCCAGCCCTGTGGGCATGCTGAGGGGAGTGCCGCTCTGTGACAGCCCAGGGCTCTGACTCCTGCTATGCTGCACTGACTGCCGTGTGTCTTTCTGTCCTCTCTCTAGGGAATCCTGAATCCAGTCCAGGGATTTCTCTTGTCTTTGGCCTTCTATGGCTGGACAGGATGCAGCCTGGGTTTTCAGTCTCCCAGGAAGGAGATCCAGTGGGAATCACTGACCACCTCGGCTGCTGAGGGGGCTTACCCATCCCCAGCGGACTCCCGCATGCCCCATGAAAACCCTGCTTCCAGGAAGGTGTCTCATGTAGGTGGGCAGACTTCTGACGAAGCCCTGAGCATGCTGTCTGAAGGTAATAATGCCCTGTCTGCCACAGCAGGTAGACTTCGGGCCCCAGGGTTCCCCTTAAAAAGCCTTGGAGGATTCTTTGTCCTGGGGTCTGTCCTGTGTGTGGTGGGTATTTAGCAGCACCCCTCATGTGGACTCACCAGCTGCCAGTTGCACCCCCCACCAACTGTGACAACCAAAACTCCTTCCAGACATTGACAAATGTCTCCTGGGGGGCCACAGTAGCCCCCAGTTCACAACCAGTATCTCAGAATCGTTAGGCTTGGATCTAAAAATGCAATTTTTTTCCAGATGTTGTCTCAGCTAAATGCACACACACACAAAACCAAAGACAAACACCATATAACCCCATGTGGGAGGTACCAAAATAATGTTGAAATTTGCAGTAAGAAAAATAATATGCAAAAAGATGTTTGGAAATGGCTTAATGAGTTCCATTTTCTTTTCCCTTCCTACTATTCAAATACATTGAAGGGAGGTCAAGGCGGGTGGATCACCTGAGGTCAGGAGTTCGAGACCAGCCTGACCAACATGGTGAAACTCCATCTCTACTAAAAATATAAAATTAGCTAGGCATGGTGGCTCATGCCTGTAATCCTAATGCCAGCACTTTGGGAGGCCGAGGCGGGTCGATCATCTGAGGTCAGGAATTCCAGACCAGCCTGACCAACATGGTGAAACCCCATCTCTACAAAAAATACACAATTAGCTGGCATGGTGGTGCACGCCTGTAATCGCAGCTACTTGGGAGAGTGAGGCAGGTGAATCACTTGAACCCGGGAGGAGGAGGTTGCAGTGAGCTGAGATCTCACCACTGTACTCCAGCCTGGGCAACAAGAGTGAAACTCTATCTCAAAAAACAAAATACAGAAATATTTTGAAGGAAGGTTCACTTTCAGGCGACAAGCTTGGTTTACTTTGAAGGCTAAAAGACATGGTGATGAATTGATGGACTGATTCCATGATTCAGTACTGTCGGGAGCCATGAAGAGAAAGAGACATAGTTCTGGCTGAAGCTAAAAGACACACAGAGAGTATATATTTACGGACTTTCCATCTGGTAATTCACGAAGGATGAGGGACCCACCTGCTGGAGCTTCTGTTAGTCTGTAGAGTTACTGATACCGTCTGGGGAATGAAGCAAAAAAAAATTATCTTGAATTATTTGGCTTTGTATTCCCATCCTGGTGTTTTAAACAGCAGAGAAGATATTTGACAGTCAAATAAAACACTAGAAATAACAATAAAAGTCCCCTGCACCCCACCCCAATCACCACCAACAAACAAAATCCATCAGCATTTCCTTACTTCCCCTCCTTCCAGCAAGCTGTTGCCTAGATTTGCTGCTCAAAGGTTGGATGTTTTCATATAGAGGTTTTAGAAAAAGCAAATAAAGATCCAATAGAAAAATAAGCAGGGCAGCCATCCCAGAAGGCTGATCTCTGTGAGGGCTCCCTGTTTTTGTTTTTATTTTGTTTTGTTTTTTTCAGACAGGGTCTCCTTCTATCACCCAGGATAGAGTATAGCAGAAGGAACACAGCTCACTACAGCCTCCACCTCCTGGCTCAAGTGATCCTCCCACCTGAGACTTCTGAGTAGCTGGGACTACAGGTGCATACCGCCATGCCTGGCTAACTTTATTTTATTTTATGGTTTTTGGAGAAAATTAGTTTTTTGGCGAAATGGGGTCCCATTATGCTGCCCAGGCTTAATTCTTTTTAGATTAATGTATGCAAATTCCTGCAAATGTGCTCTCTCTGGGGTCTCAAGTGGTCCTCCCGCCTCAGCCTCCCAAAGTGCTGGGATAATAGGCTTGAGCCACCGCACCCGGCCCCTTAGCTTTTTTAAACAATTGAGATATAATTCATATGCCATAAAATTAACCCCTTAAAATGGCACATTTCAGTGATTGTGCACACATTACCGCTGTCTAAGTCACAACATGTTCATCACTGCAGAAAGAGAGCCTGTGCCCGCCATGAGTCATTTCCCATCTCTTCTCCCCAGCCCCTGGCAACAAGAATCTTTTCTGTGTCTGTGGCTTTGCTGTGCTGGATCTTACATAGAAAGGGCATTGTGTAATCTTTGTCCTGTTGGATCTGGTTTCTTTGACTTTGGATGTGTTTTCTAGATTCACCTATGTTGTAGCAAGTGTCAGAATTTCATTCATTTTATGGATTGATAATATTTCACTGTATGGATATATCTATTTATTTATTTACTTTTTTGAGACTGGGTCTCACTCTGTGGTCCAGGCTAGAGTGCAGTGGAACAAACACGGCTCACTGCAGCCTTGACCTCCTGGGCTCAAGTGATCCTTCCACCTCAGCCTCCTGAGTAGCTAGGACCACAGGCGAGTGCCACCACGCCCTGCTAATTTTGTTTGGTTTTGTGTCTTTTTACATTTTATTTTGTAGAGCTGGGGTCTCCATATGTTGCCAAGGTTGATCTTAAACTTCTGGGCTCAAATGATCCTCCCACCTTGACCTCCCAAAGTGCTGGGATTATAGGCCTGAGCCACTGTGCCTGGCCTATTCTTATTCTGTTAATAACTCCTTATGACTGCCCAAAACTCTAAAAGGCTGTGTACTAGGAGCTGAGTGGGGTGTAAATACTGGAATGTGTAAACCTGGCCCTCAAGGATTGCACAGACCATAAAAATCATTCTATTCTAATAATAGATCAATTAATGGAAACAGCAATTTGAGAAAACATTGGAGGAAAAGGAAAGCCTTTTGAGAAAAACGAGAAATACAATCAGTACTTTTCATTGTGGGAAGAATTCCTGTAAAAGTGGCAGCTTCCAATTTAGGACTCTGAGGACATATTAGGTAACACCTGTCAGGTCAGGCTTTTTGAGGACAGAGCTTGAAGCACAGAGTACATTTTCAAAATTAACAACAAACATCTGCAAAAGTGTAAAGTGGCCTGGCCTGGTGGTATAAACCTGTATTCCCAGCTACTCAGGAGGTTGAGGAAGGAGGATCACTTGAGGCCAGGAGTTGGAGTCCAGACTGGGCAACATAGTGAAGCCCCATCTCTTAAAAAAAAAAAAAAAAGAAATAAAGTAGTGGTGCTACTGAGGTGGTGGTTAGAGTTGTAAGTTTCCATCTAGTCACTCTTTGAATATCTTTGTTTTTTTTTTTTTTTTGTTTTTTTTTTGATATGGAGTCTCGCTCTGTCACCAGGCTGGAGTGCAGTGGTGCGATCTCGGCTCACTGCAACCTCCACCTCCTGGGTTCAAGTGATTCTCCTGCCTCAGCCTCCTGAATAGCTGGTACTACAGGTGCGTGCCACCTTGCCCAGCTAGTTTTTGTATTTTTAGTAGAGTTGGGGTTTCACCATGTTGGCCAGGATGGTCTCGATCTCTTGACCTCATGATCTACCCGCCTCGGCCTCCCAAAGTGCTGGGATTACAGGTGTGAGCCACCGCGCCCAGCCTCAAATATCTTAAAATTGTTCATAACATGCAGTCATCACCATTTTGTATGGTAACCCTATGCGGGAATTTGTGTACATTAGTCTAAAAAGAGTTAAGAGGCTTTTATTCAGAAATTAAATCAATTAATTTGCTGCCTAGGACACTTCACATTTTCAAATATTTCCACATCTGACTTTTGGCTCTCATCACCATTGTATTATCTGGGGACAATTTTAGGACACCTTATATATCTTCCCTGGTCAGTATGTCTCTGGGGCCACTTGCCTGTCACTCTAGAATGTGCTTCCCTCTGTCGGTGGTGGGGGAAACACAGGTGTCAGAGCTTTACCTGCTTGTGGGCAGAAGGATCCCTGGGACTATGTAAATCCTCACCTATAACCCCCCGTCATACTTCCCCAGCTCCTCACTAAATAGAGGTGAATTTGGGTAAATTAAGTGTGCATCTGATACCACTTGTGTGCATAAAGTCACAGAAAACCCCTTACCAGAGCTTCTTTCCTATTGACTGCACCTGATCATTACTACCTAAGCAGATACAGAGAAAACTTAGCCATGGGCTTCTCCCTCTGTAGACTAAGGAGAGAAAGCACAACTTGTTCATCATACCCTTAAGATCCTACGACTTTGGGTTTCACTACAAGACCAATTGGCTGGCATTGAGCCTTATTAAGTATCTGATATAGTATCTGGCACTGGCTAGGTACTTCACACAAGTTAACTGAATTTTGTCTTAAACAAATATTCAACACCATTTTAGCCAGGATGGGTGAGTGTTCCTGAGAAGTATAATTTGTGAAACTCACAATTAAGTAAGGACAATACTATTTTTTATTTTTAAAAACCTGTGAAGGGTTAAAGGAACACAGGCAATGTAGGACTATGTTGGTTTTGGAACACTGATGAGAGCTCCTGGAGGAGGCACTGTGCTGGCTGAGTCTTACATGATCGAACAGCATGGGAAAAGAGCAGACAGAAAATCCAGATGAGGAAGAAGCCGTGTGGAGAGTTAGCACAGGAAGTCTGCGTCTTGTTTGGGGATGGCTGTGGCTCAGCGTGGTATGGAGGTGTTGGGGGAAGCTAGAGAAGTGGTGAAGGGTTTATAAAGATTCTGCTAAGGCATTTGGGCTTTATCCGATAACCAATGAAAGGACAGTTAAGGTTTTTTTAAGTGGAAAGATGCTGCGATTTGCTTGTAGGACCAGCCCAGTACACGGGTGTGGGAGAAAACATGTAATGCATCATGTTTTGTGGTTGTGGAAGAAGTTTCCATTGAAGGGTCTGTGTCTCTGCATAGGAAGGCAGCGAGCTGCTGGACGGAGCTCAGTTCCACACCTGCCACCATTGTGCTTTCTTGCTGAACACTCTCCGCTCATCAAGTCGAGGTGTCTGGATCTGGGAGAATCCTAAAGAGAACCCAATTACATATCACACCCATCCCACCATTCTTGGTTTGACCCACAATTCTCCCTATACTCCCACAATTCTGTTTCTCCCATAATTCCCTGTCTCTCCCACAATTCTGTGTATCTCCCACAATATCCTGTATTTTCCCAAATTCTGTATTTCTCCCAGAATTCCATGCCTCTCCCAAAAGTCATCATTCTCTCCCTACAACCACCTGTCTCTCCCACAATTCTGTTTTCTCTCATAACTCCCTATTTCTCTCACAATAACATTCCCCTCACAATCATTTTCTCCCACAATTCTCCATTCTATTTTTTCTTGAAAATCTGTTTTCTTCTATAATCTATTTTCTACCACAATCTGTCTCACCTACAGTTCTCCATTCTCCACTCTAATTTGTTCTCTCCCACAAGTCTCCATTCTCTACCACAATTCGCTGCCTGTCCCTCAATTCCTCCTCTTTCCCGTAATTCAGTCCTTTGTTTTTTCCACAATTCTCTTTCCCGCAATACCTTGAGTCCCCCACAATCCTAATCTTTCCTACAATTCCTCGTTTCTCCCACAATCCCTTTTTATAATTTTTCATAATGCCATGAATCTCCCATAATACCTGGAATCTCCCACAAGCCCTGTCTTTCCCACAATTCTGTGTTTCTCTCACAGTACCTTGAGTCCCTCACAACCCCATCTTTCCCACAATTCCTTTTTTCTCCCACAATACAACTTCACAATTTTCCATAATGCCTTGCATCTCCTGAAATATCTTGTGTCTCCCACAATTCCTTCTGTCTCCCACAATCCTTATCTTGTTCTAGCAATTTCCTGTTTCTCCCACAGTCCCCATCTTTCCCACAATTTATTTTTTTCTCCCACAATACGGCTTCACAAATTTCCATAATGCCTTGCATCTCCCGAAATATCTTGTGTCTTCCACACTCTTTTGTCTCCCACATTCCTTGTCTTTCTCCAGCAATTTCCTGTTTCTCCCACATCCCCATCTTTCCCACAATTTCTTTTTTCTCCCACAATAAAGCTTCACAATTTTCCATAATGCCTTGCATCTCCCATAGTATCTGAGTCTCCCGTAATTCCTTTTGTCTTCCACAATCCTTGTCTTTCTCCAGCAATTTCTTGTTTCTCCCACTGTATCGTATTTCTCTAACAATTTCTTCTTTCCCACATGTCTCCTCTTTCTCTCACAATTTGCCTTTTTTTTTTTTTTTTTTGAGATGGAGCCTCATTCACTCTGTCACCCAGGCTGGAGTGCAGCGGCATGATCTCGGCTCAGTGCAACCTCCGCCTCTTGGGCTCAAATGATTCTTGTGCCTCAGCCTCCAGGGTAGCTGGGACTACAGATGCACACCACCACACCCGGCTAATTTTGTACTTTTAGTAGAGAGAATTTCACCATGTTGGCCAGTTTAGTTTCAAACTCCTGACCTCAAGTGATCTGCATGCTTTGGCCTCCCAAAGTTCTGGGCTTATAGGTGTAAGCCACCTTTACTGGCCAATTCTCCATTCTTCTATTTCAGGACTCTTTCTTTTATAATTGTATTCGAAAGAATATGTACCACATTCTTTCTGCCCTGTAATCCTGTTTCTCCTACAACTTATTCTGCACCATAATTCCTTTTCTCCCAAGATTTAGTATTCTCTCCCATCATTTCCTGCTTTTTCCACAATTCTCTATCCCACCCATAGTCCTGTATGTCTCCTAAAAGTCTGTCTTTCCCACAATGCCTTGTTTTCCGATAATTCTTTGTTTCTCCCACAACTCTCTGTTCTCCACAGTTCCTGTCCTTCCTCCAATTCCCAGGATTTCCAACAATTTCCTGTTTCTCCCACAATCCCCATCTTTCCCACAATTTTTTTTTTCTCCCACAAAACGGCTTCACAAATTTCCATGCTGCCTTGCATCTCCTGATGATGCTTTCCCAGGATTCCTTATTTCTCCCACAATCTTGGTCATTCCTATAGTTCTCTGTTTCCTCCCATAATTCTCTGTTCATCTCACAATCCCTGTCTTCCTCATGGTTGTCTGGTCTCTCCCACGGTTCCCTGTTTCTCATGTAAGTCCACATTCATCCAACAATCTTTGTCTTTCCCACAAATTCTCTCTTTCTCCTACAATTTTTTATTCTTATCTTTCATAAATCTTTTTTCCTCTAATTCTACTCTCTACTACGTTGTCTCACATGCAGTTCTTTCATAATTTTTCATTTTCTGTCACAATTTATCTCCCCAAATTCAACATTCTCCTCCACAATTCCTTACCTTTCTCACAGTTTCATCACTTTCCCATAACTCTCTATTCTTTCCCATTAATCCTTTGTGCCTGGCACAGTTCTCTTTTCTACAGTATTTTGCCTTCCACAATTCCTTTGGTCTCCCACAATTCCTTGTATTGCCCACAGTTCCCTATTCTCTCCCACAATTCTCTGTTATCTGCTCTCTCTCATAAATCTCTGTTCTCTCTTACAATTCAATTTTCTCTAATGATTTTTTATTCCTCACAGTTCCCTGGCTCTCCCCAAATTCCCTTTCTGTCCCACAGTGCCTCACTCTCACTAAAATTCTTATTTTTTCTACATTTTTCTATTATATCCCACAATACCCTGCCTTTCCCATAATCCTTTTTCTCTCCTAAGTCTCCTGTTCCTAAAAACACATGATTTTGTTTTTTCCCATGATTCTGTCTTTTCCCAGAATTCTTGCTTCTCCCTCCAAATTCTGTTCCCTTCCACACTTTCCCATTATCTTCCATATTTCTCCATCATTCTTATTACTTTTTTATATTTTTAGTAGAGATGGGGTTTCACCATGTTGGTTAGGCTAGTCTCAAACTCCTAAGCTCAAGTGATCTGCCCATCTTGGCCTCCCAAAATGTTGGGATTACAGGCGCAAGGTACCATGCCAAGCCCAAGATTCTCCTTTGTTTATCGCATTTTATCTCTACGACAAATTCTCTTTCCCCAAATTTCTGTTGCATCTCACAAAGGAAATTATTCTCCCAGAATTCCAATTCTCCCACTATTTCCTCTTTATGACTTCCCATAATTCCTTGCATCTCCCACAATACATTAAGTCTCACACAATTCCTTGTGTCTCCCAATTCCTTATGGTTGTCAAATTCCTCAGATTGCCCACAATTCCCCATTCTCTTCTACAGTTCTCCATTCTTCCCCATAGCTCCCCGTCTCTTCCCAAATTCACTTTGTCTCCTGTAGTTCCTCATTTCCCCCAGAATTCTCATTATTTCCCACAGTCATCCTCCCTCATAATCTTTTCTCTCACAATCCCTTTTCTTACAATTTCTGTCTCCCTATTGTCCTTTGGATGTTTAGCCTTTTCTGTATGTATACCTGGATTTTAATAATCTACTGCAGTAGAAGCCTGTTGGGATATGGAATTTAAAAAACAAAAAGGCTTTTTTTTTTTTTTAAAGATGATGTCTCGTTCCGTCACCAGGCTGGAGTTCGGTGGCATGATCTTGGCTCACTGCAACCTCTGCCTCCGGGTTCAAGCGATTCGCCTGCTTCAGCCTCCCTAGTAGCTGGGACTACAAGTGTGTGCCACCATGCCCAGCTAATTTTTTGTATTTTTTGTAGAGACGTGGTTTTGCCATGTTGGCCAGGATGGTCTCAATCTCTTGACCTCGTGAACTGCTCGCCTCGGTCTCCCAAACTGCTGGGATTACAGGTGTGAGCCACCACACCCGGCCATAAAAAAGCTTTTCAAATATAAATAAATATTCTCTCAGAGCAATTCGTTCAAGAAAGCAAACACCCAAAGTCCCAGCCCTTCCCTGTCCTGTGCCTGTTACCCTCTCTAGTTTCAGCAGAGCCCTGTTGATTTATTCAGATATGAATAGCAACAAGTGTGTGGGAGAGAGAGGGGTGCTTTGGGCCAGCTGGGGCTTGTTTCCACAGCAAGCTGTAGAGATAAATGTGGGCATATGGAGGAAAGTAGGAAAGGCAAGAGTACCTTTTCTGGAACAGGAGTCGTCATGCTTCAAACAGGAGACTTTGGAGCACTCAGAGGCTGCCTTTCAAGGCTGCTGCTTTTCACTGCTTCTGAAAAGCCATCATGTTAGCATGGACTTCTCTTCCCTTCCGTCATTTGCAAAATTTCTTATAAGCTGTTAGACCAGCCACCTCCCAATGGCAAGGCCCCTTACCTAGCACCAGGTATACACAGAATTTTTTCAGCAGCCTATTCTCCAAGTAGCACCCTGAGACACTGCCTAAGAATTGGACATTATTCTACTCCTTTGCAAAACCCACCCAGCTCAGGTGAAGTGTCAGCTTGGGCTCTGGGAGATCAGCTTTCTCCTCAGTGGTCTGCTATTACTTTGCCTCTCCCTAAAGGTAACACCTGGTGCCTCCATCAACTGTAGTTGCTATGAGGGTGTGGAAGAGAACATACCCCAGGGCCTTGGACTTTGTTGGGCTGTCCAGATCAAATTTAACACCTTGAAGTGGAGTTGGGCCAGGTGTCATGTTTTCTATGGTTCATGCTCAGTGCCCTCTGGCTGGTTGGGGTTTCAGTTCTAGGACTTCACAATTTTTAGGGGACCTGAAAAAGGCAGCTGAGGGCACAAGGAACATCCAATATACAGTCATGCATCACTTAACAATGAGGATACATTCTGAGAAACGCATATTAGGCAATTTCATTGCTGTGTGAACACCACAGAATTCACTTAAACCTAGAGGGTATACCTGACTACACACCTGGGCTGGATGGTAGAGCCTCTTGCTCCTAGGCTACAAACCTGTAAAGCATGTTACTGCACTGAATACTGTAGGCAGTTGTAGCACAGTAGTACTTGTATATCTAAACGTAGTTGAATATTGAAAAGGTACAGTAAAAATGCGGTATTATAATCTTATGGGACCACTGTCATATATGTGGAATGTTGACCAAAAAGAGCATTATGTGGTACATGGCTGTATGTCCAAATCTCAGATCTGTGTGGGGCGAAGGGAATCCCAAGAACCTGCCTGGACTTGCAAGGCTCATTAAAGGGGGCCACGAGGAAGGGGACTGGCCCTTGGGTACCATTAGGTCACTGGGACATGCATTTTCTGCAGGGATGTTAGATCTTCACAGATTTTGCAACAATTGGGAACTAGTCAACATCTTCCAACAGCCTGGTTGAATTATCTTCTCAGAAACTTGCTCAGCCAGCACATTCCCTGCTCACAGAGACCTTTAAGACCAGCAGAGAAAACCCTTGGAAATTCAGGGCTGCTGGGAAGCACTCATCGAACTGAGCACAGGCAGGCTGGGCTGGGGCAGCTCCCTCCCTGCAGAATTTGCTTCAAGAAAGTTGTCATACATAAATATTCTCTTCTGTGGAGCCCTAGGGAGAGGATGAAAGCACTAGAAATTCTTCAAAGCCATAGGACCCAGAAGTGTGAGGTCACGGGGGAGTTTCCTCAGTCCAGACCTTGATCACAACTCACCCTGTGACACCCCAGCCCAGAGTCTATTTGAAAAGAACTACAGAAATCACAAATGAGTTCCCATGAATCCAGATGTCCTCATAAACAGTTGTGACCCTGTTAGAATCAAGTCTTTTTGAAGTGTCACCAGCCCCCTTCCAGCAAGAATGCTGCTCCGGAACTGGAAGGCTCCTTTAGAAGTTTTCCCAGCTGGTGTCTGGGCTCCAGGAAAAGCAGGTTCACCACGCTAACAAAAGCATCCTCTCCACCATCCTTCTGGGCCACCCAGACGCTCCTCAGGATCTAGCTGGGTGATCCACGGCCAGATCCATCCTCGACTCCCTTTACCTGCCCTTCAAGCAGCTCATCACACTTGATGAGTTACTCAGACCAAGATTCTCCCGGACTCATCTTAATCCAACCCTGGGAGGATGATCTGAGTGCCGTGTCTTCCCGCAGCCCATAGCACTTGTGTATGTGCATGCAGGTGTGTGTGTGTGTATCGGGGGACACCACAACATTGCATTTACCTTTTCCTGGAGGTGGGATCTCACTCTGTTGCCCGGGCTGGTGAGAGATGGCATGATCCTGGCTCACTGCAGCTTCAAACTCTTAGGCTTAAAAGATCCTTCTACCTCAGCCTCCCAAGTAGCCGGGACCACAGGCACACACAATCATGCCTATTTTTTTTTTTTTTTTTAAGAGATAGGGTCTATGTTGCCCAGGCTGGTCTCACATGCAAGTGATCCGCCTTACTCGACCTCCCAAAGTGCTAGGGTTACAGGTGGACCCATCACACCCAGTCCACACTTGCCTTCTTGTTGATATTGCCATCTCTGTCTGTCACTCAGGATTTCCTAATCCTTTCTAAGCACATCTCTCCTGATGTTACAATTTCTCACCTCTTCTTTTCTATATAACTCTAATGTTCTTTTTTGTTCCTTACATGCCCTCTCAAGCTCTGCATTTCTCTCTTTTAGAACTGTGCTGGCTCCTGCCCTTCTTTATACTCGTCTTAAGGAGAGCTCCAAGGGACTAGGGCTGCATCCCGTTGCTGTCAGGGCACTTACATGATTGTACTGACCCATTCCCCATGTTTATTGGGCACCCTTTAGATGGCAGGTGTTGTCTGGGGCATTAGGTACACCATGGTGACTAAGACACATTCCCTGTCCACTGAGACTCTCTGCTCTAGTGGCAGAGACAGAATGAAAAACACAATGATATCATATTCCAGCCAGGCAGTGGGAAATGCTATGAAGAAAAATCAGGGAGGAGGTAGGAGCGTGGTTTTAGAGAGGGTGTCCCGAGAGTCTCCCTGAGCATGATGTAACATTAGAATTGAGACCTTAATGAAGTGTAGGAGCCACTAGAAAATCAGAAGCGCTTTACAGGCAGAAAAAGAGAGGTGCAAAGGCCCTGTGACAGGACAAAGCCTGGAGTGAGAGAGAGAGAGGCAGTGTGCTTAAGGGTGTGAAGGAGCAGAGAGGGACACAGAGGAGGCTGCAATTGTCAGCAAGTCCCATGGGTGGAGGGATTTGGAGGCTTTTTGGAGCACAGTCACTTGCCCCATCTGTTGTTAGAAAGGCCACCCTCCATTGTGTCTTCCACCTGTGTATTCCCCATGCATAGCCCACAACCTGTGTTGCAGCTGGAGCAAGTACTCTAGGATATTTGGGGATTGGAAGAATAATTCTGACATTGTTTCCAAAGGGTCTCACAGATTCTGAAGGAAGATGCATTGCTGGAATTGATGCAGGATTTTATTCTCAGTCACTTTGCAAGCTGGGGACTTCTGGCTGGTGATATCCTGGCTAGGTCTTACTCAGCATGCTACCTGTTGCAGGAGACGGCCTGCCCACCTGGCTTGCCTGGGCCAAGTCTGGCTTGCACCCCTGTTCCCGAGTTCTTGTCCTGTGCCCAAGAAGAATGAGGTTCACTGACTACAGAAGAGTGAGCAAGGCAGGGAGATTTACTGAGTGATGAAGAGAGGGGATGTGGTGTGGTCCCTCTGCCTGAAGGAGGGAAAGTCCCCCTAATATGGCTGAGTCCAGGGCTTTTAATGGCTCAGAATCAGGGAGGGGCAGGCCTTACATAGTATTGGAAAAGGCAATATTTGATTGGTTTAAAGGCATTATTCAGAAAGAATCGGGAAAGGGCAGGAACAGAACTTCTCACTTGGGTTGTGGGTTTCCTCTGGGACCAGCAGTCCGGTTTTTCAGCCTTCAGGCTGCTTTTAGGTTGAAGGTGGGGTTGAAACTCCAAACTGGAGACCCGCCCCTATCTGCCTAGACATTTGGCTGCCTCCTATCACTATCAGAATGATGACTGACATTGAGGATTACTCTTTCGATAGGAGTGACATTAACTTTCATACTGCTGATTGCTGCCTACATTTTTTCCCCTCCTCGTATTGTGTCTGCTTTTTGTAAACCATGTCATATTCTGGAAGGAGGACAGGAGAAAGGGGAAAATTGATTAATAAATAAAACAGGACAAAAGGAAATAAAAATGAAATTAAAAGAAAGCTAGGTAGAATTAGCCCCACATAGTTAGACTGGATTAGTAGTTTGGCTTTGGGCTTTCTAGATGGGGACTAAAGAGAAAATGTGACCAGTTACAAGACTCTTCATGATTTAAAAGAAAACATTGCACATGGACGCAAATTGCCATGAAATCCAGGCCTGAGAAAAGTATCTCCAGTGATTTCTCATGAAGGGAATGCTGAGCATATTTGGACAAATACATTCTGGTATTTACAAAAATATCATGCATCACTTTATCTTATCTAGGGTCACGATCAGAGCAAATGAGCCCAATTTGACAGAGTTACCAGGCATGTACTATGTTTGTATTTAGTGTATTTAGTTGGGCCTTGGGAGATGAGTTTTCCATGAGTAGAGTTAGTTGCTGATGGGGAGGAGCTACTTGCTAAAAACATATGGCATCGTCCGTGAAAAGACAGTTGGGAGGTGGCGTAGTTTTACAAAGTGGTGGTCTCCCTCCCTTTGGGCACTTCCTGGAATTGAGTGTAGGTAGCCAGACAACCATAGGGTCCCTGTGGCCTGAGTCAGCATCCTCAGCAGGAGCTGCACCAGTAGTCACAAGGGTGCGCTCTGCTGCTGAATCAGACAGCACATGTCCCGGGGCTCCAGAACCTTCCTAAACCAATAGTTGTGTCATTTGCAGCATCTGTACCACAGTCACCTATCAACTAGCCTAGATGATTCTGTAGGACTTGTTTCATCTGTCGTAATGATTTAATAAAATGTAGATGGAAAGTTGATGTAGATTTCCACCCCTCCCACCTTTTTTTTTTCAGATGAGATGAATGCTAGGACTTTGATCAAAGTTGGTACGTGAAAAACTCTGTGCACTGAATACTGAGCATTTTCTGAAGCTGATGACAAGCCTGCTAGAATGCAGACACAGTCACAGTCTTTTGTCTTTTCCTCTCCAGGTTCTGATGCCAGCACAATTGAAATTCACACTGCAAGTGAATCCTGCAACAAAAATGAGGGTGACCCTATTCTCCCAACCCATGGAGACCTATGAAGGGAATGTGCTGGGGGTCCAGACCCCATATTCCTCAAACTCTACAATTCTCATTCTTTAGAACTGTGATCTTACCTTCCCATCACTGCACTGCCAAGGTGTAGCAGCCCCCAAATCTTGCTTTCATTACCAGTTAGTGCTTCTTCCCTGTGAGCCTTTAGGAGAAATGATTCATGCACATGCATCTGGGAATGGAAGAGGCCCCTCCATATCACTCTGCAGCTTCTCTAGCCTCTTCGTTGCCACTAGGAAGTTTTCTGAGGCTGGCTGTAAAGTAAATGTAAGGTCCACGTCCTTGAGAAAGTAAACAGTTGTGACTGAGCTCTCAGCCTGACATGGATTCTCTCTTAACAACACTTCTAGCAAAATAAAATGTATGTACAGTTATGCATTGCTTAATGATGGAGATGAGTTCTGAGAAATGTATCGTTAGGTGATATCACTGCTGTGTGAATACCATAGAGCGTACTTACACAAACCTAGACGGTACAGGCTACCGCACACTTATGCTGCATGGTAGAGCCTATGGCTTCTACTCTACAAACTTGAACATCATGTGACTGTACCCAATACTGCAGACAACTGTAAAACAGTGATATCTAAACATACCTAAACATAGAAAAAGTGCCGTAAAGATGTGATTGCTAGAGCAAGTGCTCTTGACTAAGCCTATTGATGATGCCAAACAGCAGCAAGGTAGAGAGGCAGAAGCATGAATAGGAAACCAGGGCCCCATGGAGCAGCCGCACAGCCTGGCCTCCTAACACACCATGGAGCAGAAGAGAGCGTGACTTTGGTCACAAATTTAGCCTCATGCTGTGTTGAGTAATGACATAGTCTAAGGAATACTTGGAACCTAATTCCCGTATTTCCATCAGTTAAGATATATGAGGGAACTTCAAAAAGTTCATTGAAAAATGAAATGAAAGATAAAAATAAAAACAAACAGAAATGTTACTTCTCAACAGAGGCTCCATCCCGGTGAAGATACTTTGTAAGTGATGACACCAGCCATGCAGTTCATCCCTAAAGAACTGAGGGTCCTGGGAACTTAACCATGTCAGTACAGTCTTTTTTACACTATTAACTGAAGAAAAATGGGTGCCCTTTAAAGATCAGGAAAGAAAAATAAGTCAAAAGAAGCCAAGTCAGGGCTGTA